GTAGAAGGTTCTGGAGATGGGCTGTGTGTGGACTTATGGTTGTTGTTTACCACTCTCACACTCCACACTTCAAGGATAATTTGGTCATTTTTTACTAATAACTTCTCAAATAATGAAATTGTGTTTGTATTACAAAATTTTAAAAAATGAAAATCAGAGATCAAATAACTCCCTCAACATTAAGGATCAATTAACTAATGCAAAGTAGTGAATGAGCTTTGAAGTTTGAACTAAGAGTGAACTCAGTCATTAGCCAATTTGCTTGATTATTGGGAAAGAGAAAGTGAAAAAGTAATACTTTTTTTTGTTCTTTTTTACTTGACCTGTTTCTTTTATCACATTTGCCGATGTACAACTTTAACCATCATTAACTTTATTTCTCTATAAGTAAAAATAATAAAAGTTATAAATTGTGATAATACTTATTGAGACGATTCTAACAAGATTTCACATGAATATCTTATTCTTTACATAAAAGTCACAAAATACGGTTAAAGGAGCAGTGGTGATTAGTGTAAAATTCAAAGCGGGTCAAGCAAAAAAGAATGGAGGAAGTATGTAGTAAAAAAATGAAGAGAAGGAAAATTTTGTGGAATAAAAGCAATAATCAGGTTATGAAAATAACCGGTTACAAGTTTGGGTTATTGATAAAATAATGTTCACTTTTTGCTTTTGATGTGTTTCCTTGGTGATGTGGCAAATGGAGGGTATGACACCCATTTTTTTTATTAACGGCTAAGATTTATTCTAAATTTATAACCATTGTAATTTTTCTAACAACCATAATCTTTAAAATACAATTCTAACGGCCAATTGTTCCGGGGTGGAATCGAGATGATGATCATGGGTCGTTGCCCACTAGTCTTGGATTCGAGTAATCTGATAAAATGAACTCTAAGCTTCGGGAGGGCCCCGAGATAAAGCCTCCGAAGCTTAAATCAGTTAACCAGAGCATAAGATAGTAAAAGAGATAAAAGTAGAGAGAAAGATACCTTCTGACCTAACTTGGTCTGGTTCTCTCTCTCCCTCTCTCTCTCTCTCTCTCTCTCTCTCTCTCTATATATATATATATATATATATACATGCATACATATATACATACATACATAAATATAGTTTATACTATTATTTTTCTAAAATAAATTAAGTTTAATATTTATTATATTTATATTTAATTTATAATATTACTTTATAGTTTAATGTTTATAATTTATTATATTTATTTTTGTATTATTAATCATTATAATTATTTTTTTGTTATATTAATCTAGAAATTATAACTTAACGGGGAAAAAAGGCAAGTTGGACTTTGGATGTGAATAATGCATATTTCATATTATTATTACTTGAAAAAATTGTACAATGATAATAATAATGATAAAAATCATACAATGATATTAAACAAAAATTGGATAATGATAAATATTGTAAAATGATAATATTGATAATGATAAAATTATACAATATACAAAAATTGTCTATTCTTAATCTCTTCTTCTTCTTCTTCTTCTTCTTCTTTTCTTCTTCTTCTTCTTCTTCTTCTTCTTCTTCTTCTTCTTCTTCTTCTTCTTCTTCTTCTTCTTCTTCTTCTTCTTCTTCTTCTTTCTTCTTCTTCTTCTTCTTTCTTCTTCTTCTTCTTCTTCTTCTTCTTTCTTCTTCTTCTTCTTCTTTGTCTTTGCCTTCAAGTGAGCGATTTTCAGCATCCAACCAATCTTTGAAACACACGCACATTTCAAGTGTTTCGGGTTTTAGACTTGTTCTTCTATCGTCTAAAACCCTCCCGGATGCGCTGAAAGCTCGTTCAGAGGCAATGGAGGAGACTTGGATATCAAGAATGTCTCGTGCCATTGCCGCCAAAGTTGGATGCTTCATGCTTTGTTGTTTCCACCATGCAAGGAGGTCGAGGATGTTCATCTCATCGTCGTCCATGCCCTTGGTGAAGTCGTAACTCAGGTACATTTGCAACTCCGAGACATCGTAGCTTGTGAAAATAAAAGTTTGGCCTTTTTACTTACGTTTTTGGATGGTTGGGAAGGGCCTGAGCGAGGAACGGTGCCATATTTGGTGTCATGGACTCCATATAAAGCAAAAAATTGATCCTTCACATTACTCTTATAGGTTTTTACATTATCGTCAATAAGCATGCATTGAAAATAAATGTCAACTAACATAAATGTATTTTCATACTTTTGCCTAAGATCTAATATGGAAGCAAAAATATAAATCAAAGGAATTTCACTATAATATTTACGCCACTTTGTTTCCATTGCTGGAAGATATTGATCATAATCACTTTGGTTGCGATGATCAGCGGAAAGTTGGGCGAGTAAACATGCATTTGAAAGAAAGTTTTGAGCACAAGGATTATAAACATAAGAAAAACAAAACGTCATGTTATATAGGGTATCCTGTTATATAACCATTGCTCTTGTGTGTTTGGGAATTGGGTGTTTGTAGATTCGGGGATTTGTTGGTTAGTAGTAGAATCGGAGGCATTTAGGGTATCTTGTTGGCTACCTTGGATAGAATAAAAATTTTGTGGGTCAAAGAAATTAGGTGGGAATTGACCGAATTGTGGAAATTGGTTTTGTGGTGGAAATTGGTTTTTTGGAAATCCGGGCATATTCATATTATTCATGTTATAAGGTTGAAAACCGGAAGTACCATCGTGCCTAAATTGTTCAAAGCCTAGGGGGACGTTACCGAGGTCATTGGTCGGACTTGAAATTGGGGGGGGGGGGTCATTGGATTAGGTGATTCCCTAAAACTATTACCACGGACAAATCGGGCTTTCCTAGAGGATGATGGGTTGTTCATGTTTGGTGATGCCATAATTAACAATAATAATTTTAATAATAACAACAATAATAATTAATAACAACAATTATAACAATAACAATAACATAATAATAATTAATAACAACAATTATAACAATAACAATAATAATAATAATAATTAATAACAACAATTATAACAACAACAATAATAACAATAACTGTAACAATAATAATAATTAATAAGTAATAACAATAATGATAACAACAATAATAAAGATTAGTTAGATCTTATAACCGTGCTTCATCGCTTTCCACTAATTACGATTACGAACTTTTAATTTTTTCGTTATTAAGAGATAATAATTAGAGAATTTAAGTGATTAAGAGAATTATTAGAGAATATAAGAGATTAAGAGAAGAGATTGTGAATTTGTGATTTGGAATGAAGAATTGTGGAGCTATTTATAGGAAATTAGGGGGAGAAGACCGTTACAAGAGGAATGAAGAAGAAGAAGACCATTGCTCCAACGGTCTCAAATTGAGACGTTGAACAACAGTTTAGTGCTGGCACGCGGGCCGACACGCGAGCTTGGGAGCGGGCCTCGTGCTGTGCCATGCTGAAAAATCTGAACCTCTGAACATGGCACGGCCCACGGCCCGCCGGCCGACCACCGTGCCGTGCCGGGCCACCTCACGGGCCGTGTCGCCGTGCCGTGTCGGGCCACCTCACGGGCAGTGCCGCCGTGCCGTGCCCTGTCGTTCGCCTAGCCATGGCGTGCTGCCCCAGCCCGTGCCCACCTTTAGGTGGGAATGTATGTATTCTAGGTTTGGTGCCCTAAAAAGGAGTGCACTGATTGGCGGCGCAATCAGGTAGAGACACATGTCTCTTGGGGGCGTCGTTATGGAGCTTTTCTTGGGAATTGGGTATCCTGTTGTGATGGAGGCCTTTTCCCTTTTAAGGTGCTCTCATGCTGCCACGTGTCATCTTCCTATTGGGACACGTGTCGCCCTTTTTTTACAGGGCCACGCGTCGCCTTTGGATTGGACCACGTGTTGGGGTAATTTTTACCCTAAACAATAGTCTTTCCATTTATTAGCGAATTTAATATGGTAACGCTGAATACAGACGGTGTGAATTGGGGGAAAAGAGGTTAACTAACAAAATAATCCAATACCAAAATTGTAGAAACTTCTGCCACGCTCCTTCCCTCTTCTTCTTGCAACACTCCTCCTCTTGTTCTTTTTCCCCTCTTCCTTGGTTGAACTTTTTCTTTTCTTCATCATCTTTTTTTTTTTTTTTTTTTTTTTTTTTTTTTTTTTTTTTTTTTACAAAATCATAATTATGTAGAAAATGGGCAATCTAAAGTCTAGAGCCTTTGAAGGGTATTGTGAGGGCTGTGGCGGTCTTGAAGGGTATTGCGAGGCCGATTTTACTCGGTGGTGGTGGTAGCACAAAATACGCCGCCATGAGGTAGTAGATTGTGGAGAGAGAACGAGAAACACTACCAGTTCAAAAATAAATAAATTTCGCCATCATTGTATAGAGAGAGTGAGAAACACTAGAACGAGAAAAGTAGAGCTATAGTGTGAGGTTACTTAGATGTTAACAATGACTCCATCCGTGAATGTTAACTAATCACCGTTGTGTACCCACAAAGTTAGCTAACAATTTTTAAAATCACAATCAGCACATTTCAACAATAAAATATCAATATCTCGCTATTCCCAATACAAATCATAACATAACTGCTATTATAAATACATTCTCTGTTTCTCAAATATGAGAAACTAGGGTACGTCCCTTGTTTCTAACTTTCGAGTACAAAAACTAATAAACGTAGACCTATCCGTTCATACCAAATTAGACAATCAAATCAAATAAGGTTTTTTTTTTTTTTTGAAACAATCAAATCAAATACTCCCTCCGTCCCATAATACAGAACTTGTTTTCCTATTTTGGAGATCCAAAATGTTGTTCCTGTTTTTATTTTTAAATAATATGTAAAGACTATTATACGCTCAATTTTTTTATCTTTATTCATTGTATTTCCTAATTTACCCTTGAATTTTGCACATGTCTTGTACTTTTTTACACTTTCTCTCTCTAACTTTTGTCTATAATTGTACTTTTCACTTTTATTAATGTAGTTCATCTACTTTCTTCTTTTATTTCTTAATTACCATGAAAAAACACATATAGAAAGTATATTATGGGACGGAAAAATAAGTTAGAGAAATTCATAACACCATTTTTTTTTTTAAACCAAGTTCAAAATAACACTTTATTTCATGCGAAAACGATGAAGCCCCGAGAATAAAAAAAACTGATGAACCGTAGACCTATCTGTCCTCATTTTCCCGCTCTCTCTCTCGGTTTTTCATTGAAGCGCACTCCACTTGGCGACTTCTGAAATCTCATCCTCCTTTGACGCAGCTTCTGAGGTAAACTGTTGTTTCTTTTTGTATTCATTGAATGTTAATTTCATAATCTAGGGTTTATCGTTAATTCTATTTATTGTCAGTATAGAATTTGTTTTTGTTTTTTTTTTGGGAAGAACAGTATAGTCTATTTAAAGTCGATTATTTGAACTATTGGTTACTAGTAATTGCTAAGCTTATGGAAGATCATAACGACCGATTTTATTGCTAGAGAAGAAAATTTGCCTGTAAAGTTAGGATGGAACTATGAAATTGGACCTTTCCTACCTAAAATCATGCGATTTTTTGGTTGCTAATGTGTTGTGGAACATTTATTTCTATTATGGAAACATGATATTGGACATTTTCTCGCTGGGCCTAGGGCGGCCGCTCCTCCTTCCCTTGCTCAGGGACGGGCCGGGGTATGTTAGAGTAGCTGGCTAGGTGGGGTGTTGGTGTAGATGGGTGGTGCTGTGTGCATAGATTGTGTAGGCGTTGGTATTGCTGGCAGGGGGCTGATGTAAATGTATTTGTCGTAATTTTCTTTTTTCTTAACTCATTTAAACTCTCATGAATAATGGATACACCATTGTAATAGAACGGTATCTATCATTAACTCATTGATGAGCATGAGTTTATCTAAATTTAGTAGAAATTGTTATACTGAAGGTTTTTATAAGTCATGAATTATTTTGTCGAAACTCTTCATTTTACCTCCAAAACCAATGTCAATTGACACTCCTACACTTCTATTTTGGACCAAAATTATGAGAATTTCATAAAGTAGCCATGCTTGACTCTTTGACAGGGGTCCGTGTTTATTATGAGATTCCCAAGTCCAAGAAATCTAGGTCATTAAGCTTTTCCTCTGTTTTATAGAGGTCATTCTTTCTGGTGTTTATAACAAATTTTACTGCAATATGATTTATATTTTAACTTTCCTGATACATCTGCTGTTTTATTTATCTTTGAAAGAGTTGATTCTTTAACTTTAAATTTCTTAACGTTGATAAACTTATGGAATGTTAATTCTGTGTGTACAGCACCGAAAGTGACGTGGTTGATGATTGCAGCAAGTTATTATTCTGGTAATGGCATCTCAAAAGCTGCCCGTCCATGTACAAGGGGCCTATATAGGAAAATATAGTGGCCCTATGGTTATTTATAATTGAAGAGAGGGTTTTGTATGTACCCTTTGGTAAAGCAAATACATACCATTCCCAGAACACTAACCTTTTTCTCCCGCTTACTTGACCATTGTCACTCATCAAAGTCAGTGAATTTAACCAAAGTGGTCCATGGCCAGTTAATAAAAGTTGGATTTAATTGTCACACATTTTTAGGTAATCGCTGCCTTGAACTTTATACCCAGTGTCAATTCGTTGATGACATCCTTAAAGCATTTGGTGACATACCAAGGAAGAATACTATATCTTGGAATATTTGCTTGAAGGGGTTGTTGAATTGTGGCCACAGTGAGATGGCTCAGTCCTTGTTCGAGAGGATACCTGAACAAGATGTTGTTAGTTGGAATACTATGATTTCATGGTATGTCTCATGTGGACATAGTGATTGTGTGTGGGAAAAATTCCGAGAAATGCAATATATGGGAGTGAAGCCAAGCGGGTATACTTACTCAATTGTCGCATCATTGGTGTTTGATGCCATCTTGGGCAAGGAGCTTCATGGTAAGATGATTAGAAGTGGTTTAATCAGGTCAAACTTGGTTCTAGGGAATTCTTTAATTGATATGTATGGCAAGATTGGCCTAATTGACTATGCCGTTGGTGTTTTTTTGAGTATGGAACATTTGGATTTGATATCTTGGAATTCATTAATTGTGGGTTGTTGTAAAGCTGGATTTGGAGAATTAGCACTTAATCAGTTTTCTTCAATGAGATACTTGGGGTTTCCACCTGATGAGTTTACATGTTCTGCAGTAATCACTTGCTGTACGAATTTGCGAAACTTAGAAAAGGGTAAGCAGATTTTTGCTCTCTGTATCAAGGTTGGCTTTCTTAGCAATTCCATTATCTCAAGTGCCATTATTGACCTGTTCTCGAAATGCAACAGATTGGAGCATTCAGTTCAACTCTTCAAAGACCTTGACAGACACAATTCTGCAGATTGCAATTCCATGATATCAGGCTATACATCTCATGACATAAGTGAGAGTGCTATCCAACTCCTCATGGTCATGCTGAAGGAGGATATTAGGCCTACAGAGTTCACCCTTAGCAGTATTTTGTCTTCCATTAGTGGTATGGAAGTGGTGCAAGGAACTCATATCCATTCTTTGGTGGTTAAAATAGGTTTTGAGATTGATTGTGTTGTCTGTAGCTCGCTTGTTCATATGTATGCAACACTTGGGTTGATCGATTGTGCTACGAAAATTTTTGCGAGTATGACCTCGCCAGATCTGATTTCTTGGAATACCATGATTATGGGTTTGACTCTTAATGGGAGATTAGTTAAGGCAATAGACACTTTCAATGAACTACATAGAAGAGGTCCATTGCCCGATCAAATATCACTAACTGGTGTTTTACGAGCGTGTAGCTATGGAGGTTTTGTTGATGAAGGAATTGTTATATTTTCAAAAATGGAGGAATATTATGGTGTTAGACCCTGCAATGAGCATTATGCTTGCCTTGTAGATCTGTTGTGTCAAGATGGTAGGCTCTATGATGCAATGGAAATTATTGAATTGATGCCTTATGAACCAAGTTCAATGATTTGGGAATTGTTACTTCATGCTTGTGCAAGTCATGGAGATGTGAGGCTTGCAGAGAAAGTAGGTGTGAGATTGATGGAGTTGGAGCCACATTTATCTCTACCTTATGTGATATTAGGTCGTGTATATGAGATAAGGGGCCAGTGGGAGGATGCAGTTCGGGTGAGGGAAGCCATGAAGAGGAATGTCTCACAGAAGGTTGTTGGATGTTGTTGTATTGTGATAAAAGATCATGTATATAACTTTACGGGAGAACAGCTGCAACAGCATGCAGGCAGAGATATTTACTCCATTCTCAGATTAATGGCTTGGGAGAAGGGTGAAACGATGATCATGGAAATTAATCAGACAGATACTGATGCTATTGCAAACATGGTTATGGTATTATGAGATGTGTTCATATGCTCATTCCACAAAGAACAATGCTACTGGCGGCTGGCATACTGCTCGGGAACTCAAATATGCATTCTATGCTTGGTATGACATGTGATAGACCTCTTTAGCATTAATGCTGGTATTATAAAAAAAATTCCTGCAAATCTGTTGCCAATATCTGCCAATTTTCACTAATTTCATCTTGTATTACCAAGTTTATTCTCTTTAATTCATATTAAGCATATATATTTTCTTGTGTGTACTTTCTACCAATGCTGAATTTTGCGCAGGGACTGTTGGGGTCAGCCTAGTGCTGAGGTGTTGGTAAGTGTAACTGTTGCCATCCTCGATTTTGAGTTCCCAGTTTTGATTTTTTTGCACACATTTTCTGGTTTATTATCATCAGATTCATCACAGCTAATGTTGAATATTGTCTGAAATTTCTGTTATTCCAGCTATTCAACTTTATAATTTGAGGGTTTTAATGCCAATGGTTTATGTTGTGTAATTTAGTAGGGTATTTTACAATCTTTGCTATTTCATTTCTATTTTTTAGATGTATTGAAGTTTTCTTGAAATTCTAGGTTTCGGAGGGTTGACTAGTCAGGCGGTTATGCTTAAATATTTTGATTCTGAATGTGATTTGATCAATTGGCCTGATGTGAATCCGTCCTATGTTATTCGCAAGATTGTGACTAAGTGTGGTGTCTAATTTGATTATGTGAGGCCCTTTTCTTTTTAAAAGTAATTTTATACTTCCTCTGTTTTATTTTTACTTGCAACACAACCTCAAGGTACGTACTTTTAGAAGGTGATTAGAGAAGGTAAGCGAGTCCCTTTATCATTATATTTTAACGTAGGGAAGTGTTAGGTACTATGTGTAATAATTATTATAATTAATTTGTCCATTTACATTGTCTAATCTCTTCCTCAAACAATGTGCCTTGAGAGTATATTGCAATTAAAAGAAAACAGCAAAAATATATAATTATTAGTTTCTATTTATGAGAATGTATGTGAGTAGTTATTAGCTTCCTGAGATGTTACACATTATCAGAAATTACCGTTTGTTATGATATATGTTTTAGAGTTCTGATTTTGTCTTATACCTTTCATTAGTTCAATTTATAGCTCTTTTGTTTTGTATAGTGTATTATGTAATGGAGCCAACCGAGCCATCCCTACCAGCCAAGCCACCTGTGATTCTAATGTATGCAAGAAGAAAAAGACAAGAGGGGAACACGGAGAGAATGCAGCAGCTGCAGCAAGCAGAGCAGCAACCACAACACACTGAGGTTTCTGAAACCCTTTAGCGGGTGCCATCAGAATCCCTTTTGATAGATGGAGAAGTCAAATTATGTAAATATAAATAGGAGAGTATGAGAAGTCATTCAGTTATTTTGTAATTTGTGCTTGCACTATGAGATTGATAGCTTTAAGCTTACTTTGATGATTGGTAGGCTAAAGCTACCACGTTTGTATCAAACGCTTCTCAATTTATGCCAAAGAATCAAGCTTTCTCTTCATTTGTGTTATTGCTTGTTAAGTGATTGCGTGTGAGCAGTGAGTCCATTGCATAGTATGTCAGAGTTATACTGTGGTGGTCTTGGGATATCTTAAGTTGTATGTTTTAATTAAAGGAAAAAAGGACATACGTATACACAATATTAAATCATTTGTGTGCTCGTTACTATGGACATGCCAAATTGTTTGTAGATTCAGGATTTGCTTCTTAGTGTGATTTTAAATCAAACCCCTCGTGTATGCTTTTCTGTTGTAATTCTTCTTTGTTTAGGCATATTGATGTACTATTTGTTTTTCATTTGAGCCTTTAAAGAAGCGAATGTAGCCATCAATTCTCTTATAGATAGGTACATATGGTTTCATTGCTTTCTTTCAAATAAATGGCATAATGCTTGATTGTATTTCTGTAAATATCATTCATCCTATCAGATACCAAACTCATGTATTGCGTACTTACTCGTTGGGTTTTCTAAGTAAAAATAAAAACTTCACAATGTTGACATATACAACATGTAATGGAATTTTAATTTGCTATCTTCAATTTAGTAACTATGGATCTGAGTAAATTATTCATGACTCAGTTTATATATAATCTTATGAATGCTATTCTCGAGATAGTATGTGTCCCATTTGGTGGTCTGGGCGTCTGGCCATTATCCTTTGGCCTCTTGCCGTGGTTGGATCAGTTCTTGCTGCATTTATGTCAACTTTTTCTTGGATTCTATCCTGGTATTGTCGTTCATCAGGTGTGTGGTCTTTAACTTTGTGGGAGAGGATTCAATGTCTTAGTTCTTATATAGCAAATATCAGATATAACATACTCCGTATCATGGAAGCAATCATATATGATGATATTAATTCCTTGCGTATCTAATATACTCTTACTAATATGCCTTGAAATGTTAATATGCTCTTCGAAAAAACTGAGATGATGTTAAGTGCGCACTTAAAATGGTCACAGGAAAATCTTAGAGAATGGAAAGGAAGAGCCAAGTGATTCAAAGCTTATCTCACAACACTCGAGAACATTGAAAGCTGCAATTCAACAAACAATATAAGCCTATAAAGGTAAGATGACATGCATAATCCTCACTAAGTTTCTATGCCACTATAGTAATAGCATTACCACCACCCAATCCTGCACTAGTACTTACGGGAAATAATGTTATCACCTGTAATTAATTCTTGGTTGCGCGAGCCTAATTTCTCAGTTCTCCCTACGATTGAAACACTCTTGATTTAGGAATGCTGGTGGAAAGATGTTTTTAATAAATTAGAAGATGTTCTTGATTTTTGAATAAGATTTTCTATTTCAACTAGATTCGTTTCTCAAGATATCTTACTGCATTTTGTTGATGAAAATTATCGGGTACTGGATTGGCTGTTCAAATCATGTGAGGTGAATGGAAAGCAATTGCTTCATGAAGGTCTGATAAATGTAAAAGACATCAAAGAGTGCGTTGTGAAAGGGGACTGCAAGAAGTTGGGTACTGCACTCCCTGCATGTTGCATTTTGAAATGTTTGCTTGCCTCTGCTAAGTCAGATGCTCCTGGTTTAGTCATCTGTATGTCACCTGACGTCCTGTAATTATTTCAGTATTGACGTGTGTGCTCTAATTCTTGTGTTTTTTCTTATTATAGCTGATGAGGCAGATTTGACAATTACCAATTGGCCAAGAGATAAAATGTTTCAGTGGCTAATCAAACCTTTGTCGGTCATGAAAGAGCAGATCAGAAAATTAAATTTGGATGACAATGAAGAGACCTCTTTGCGACAAGCAATCATGATATGTAAAAATGAGACACCAGAGGTTTGGGATGATATTGGGTTTCCATCTGAAGATAATGTCATAAGAACACATCTACAATCTGTCATCAGATATATGGATGCAACTCATGCAAATAAAACTATGATTTTGCTTTCTACTACTTCCCAGCAATTTAAGTCATCTAGAAGGTTATGATTTAAAACTGCAAGTAATAAACAAAACATTATTGTCCCTCTAGATTGCAGGAGATTGTGGGATCCATGGCAAGAATGCCAACTTTCAGACGGCGATTCCAGAATTTGGTCAAAGTATCGTATATGTAGGCTGCCAAGACTAGTGCCTTGGTGAGCTACATTGGGTCAAACTCTACAGGTAGAAAAGCTTTACAGAGTGAGAAGTTAGATCAAACTTCAGCCGGGGGGGGGGGGGGGGGAAGCAAGCATAATGTGGCAAATACTGTAAAGGCAAGCGTAGCCTTCCTTTTTGGCAGTTAAGTTGCAGTCTTGCAGATGCTGGAATCAGAAAGGGAGTCTTTCAATGCCAATGAATGGAACTGAATCAACCATCAGATCTTTTGTAAAGATCAACTCAACTACTAGTCCACAGCCCCATAGTTGACCGGCATAGCCGTGAAAACAATACTATATATAGATTATAGTTTTTTTTTTTTTTATTGACAGATGACCATGAATGAACTAATTAGCCATTTGCTCTCTAATAGAAATCAATTTTGTGATACCTATATGACCACGGTACAACCAGTTGTACCATATACATGGTTTCAAGAAAATATTATTTGACTAATATATATACACTCATTTGGAGTTCTCCCAAATGAATAAATGAGCCAAAATAATAGCTTAAGTTGTAGCATGCACATAGACACATAGTACAACCAGTTCTACAATAGATATTGCCCTTCACACCTGTCAATGACAAGCATAGCTAGTAAAATGATAAAAATCCATCTTATTTGTAGGTAACAGTTTTGATTTATCACTGTTATAAAAATAAATTATATAAGTTGCTATTGTAAAGCTATAGTTTTCATTGTCTGTGAAGGCCTATAAATAGCTCTCAACATATTTGCTGTGTTTCAGATTTTATGTAATGCAAATTTTCATCTGATTGACAAACCAGATACTCATATGCTAATGGAAACCAGGAAAGTATATAATTTAGATATGCAATCCAATAAAACATTCAAACTCATACTAAAATCTCGATTAGTGTATTGAGAACAACAGTACAAAACAAAACCACAACAAAAGAAAATAACAAGCTGCTTAAGAGTTTGCAACAACGTTTAAAACCTCCAAGGCTGCTGCAGTAGAGGTTGGAGTACTGGGAACTAAAGCAAAAAAACTTATTGAAAACAAATGAAAATGACAAGCTGCTAAAGAGTTTGCAACAACAATTACAAACCACTAAGGCGGCGACACCAACATTCCAGTCTCAAGATTTGATGCCATTACACTTCTCTCTCTGATTGATATCCCCATGAACATGCCTCGATCTCAGTTCCTGTGAATTTTCATGAAAAGCATGAGCACCTTTCACAATTATTTTGCTTTACTCTGCTGACTTTATCTATATATGACACACAATATTCAATGTTTCCATAAACTATCCAACCAGATAAGAAGATTTTGATACAAAAACAGACTACAACAAAAGAAGACACTTCTACATATATAAACAAACAGCAAAGAGTCAGCATACAACTTAGGCAAGCTACAGCATCTTTATATAGACTCATGCATGCCAGACATACTCATTAGAAACAACGAGATGTAGTTAGGAAACTGGAAAAGAACTGTAAAATACTGATTAGAAAGCCACTTGATGGGAAACAAATGTAGTGCCCATCATACCATAACATTACAAACTAAAACGGGAAGATAAACTTTTGAAATTGATCAAAATTATTACTAGGTTGTGAGGGCTAAGCAGCTCGCAAAAGCATTGTTCTTAGGATTTTTATCTAACTTCTAAGAGAGTCTGGTTCAACAGCATAAGCAACCTCATTATACAAGAGTTTCGAATCATTATCTCAAGCTACCAGTAAACCCTTAGCTAGCAGTAACAAACCGGTCAATTCTCTTCTTACCATTTCAGAAATACATTCATAACTCATTGTAAGGTTGTAAGGAAATTAACCCATTTAACCCTCGCGCCCAACTGGAACACTGTGGAAATAGTAAATAATACAACAGCTGTGGAAATAGTAGAAATGCTACAACAGCTGCAGCACACGGCCACATAGTAGTCATAGGTCTGGCAGTACATCAGGCACAACTTAAGATTTCTATAGATATAGACTACAACACTGACCCAACCACAGCTTGCACAAATCCGAGAAAATGAAATTTAAGAGACTATGAAAACTAGAAGGCTAAGTAGACACATGTGAGCACCTGTACAGAGCAAACCAGCCAAGTAATGTGAGTATGTGACCTTTGTTCATCTTCTGTGACGTGAACAAGGGTGTCATCTTACAACAAAATAATTCCTTTAGAGGCAGTTCAATTATTAATGATGCACGAGCAGCAATTCATTTGTTTCAACTGAAAAAGGAACTTTATCCGACCATTTATTGCCTCTAATAAAGTTTAATATTAAAAGTATTTTAGCAATTCAAACTTGAGCAATAAGGTTCAGCCTTTCAATACAACAATAAGCATAATGATTTGTAAGTAATAACAGTGAATCAAATTATTACTTACAGCTTTGCAAAAGCCACGATGGGAAACCGAGATGCTGAATCATTTAATAATCCATGAAAAACTCTTTATCTCAAGATATCAACATCAACATAAACTTAGGTAAAGAAGAGCACTACGGATCTAAGTTAAGATCAATTGTATATAGATATTATTAAAAATATTAGTAAATAAATGAAGAAGAGGAGCAAGTGTAATAAGTCTGGAATTTTTTCGTTACATACCTTTTAGGACAGCTTAGGTTAATTTATTGAATTTTATTCCGTGAAATAATTCGAATTTCACACTCCTAGTCAATCAATTCTATTACTCAAGCCCTAGAAGCAACAGAAATTCAATCTCTTCTCTTTTCTTATGAGAAATTTTCTTACCAAGACTATTTTTCTTTAGCATTGTTATATGTTGGTCACAGACATGAAAAACAAAAATAAAGCATTAGTCCCAAATGATTTGGGGTTGGCTAACATGATTCATCATAAGGAACTGTTCACGAAAGTGAAACAAGAAAAGTAATGAAGAAAGTTAAAGAAGGTAAAAGAGATTAAATGAAAGTGGAAGAAAATAAGGGAGACATAGTGAGCAAGAGGCAAGGGCAGTGTAAAATTTCCCCCTCCACTCTGCCCTGTCCAACACCATATTTTCTCGAACCCCAATGACTCGTATCACTCCCAATCACCTTCCTCCAAGAATAACTTTTTTTTTACCTTTCCCAAATGGAATCTAGACTAGAGCTACTAACTTATGTGTTCAAATATTCAGTTATGATATTTGCACAAAGCACTCATTTATAGCTTCAACTCAGAAAGTTACTGCTCTAATACAGAAAAAAAAAAAAAAAATGTTCAAGCAATAATCTATTTTCACGATTACTAAAGTAATACCAACTATATATCAAAGACAAGCAATTTGATAAAAGCATAAATGAAGATGCAGTTTTGAAATTCACAATAGATTACACCTCAAATACCAGTCACACACATTAGAACTAGCTAGATGTTTCAAGTTTACATGGCAAATAAGCAAAACATATGGATTAAGCAAGGATATTAGTCAGACAGGCATTAAAGATTGCTAGACATAGGGACTGTGTCAGACCGGAAATTCTAGCAACCAATCATCACAGCCTTACGGTCAGCCTTCTGGTTCATCAACTGCACCTTGGTTTTTTCCACCGTGGGCTTCCTGGGGACCTCAGCCTTGGGCCTTCCCTCCCTGCCCATATCCGACTTCCGGGTGGCAGTTTCGCCCACCTACTCAAAGGCAGCAGCATCCTCAACAAGGAATCCTCGGTGCTCGACCTCAACAAGCATACTATACTGCTTCTTCTCCCAGATCGGTCTCAATACCAACCGACATAGATCAAGCAATGCACACTCTCACTTTGCGACCACCAGATGACAATTCCTATATGGACACCGGGGCTACATCACATATGACTCATTCACAAGGTAATCTCTCTTCTTATTTTCATTTGAGCAATCATAAAAATAATTCAATTATTGTCGGTAACGGCAGTCTGATTCCAATTTGTGGATATGGTCACACTTCCCTTCCCCATACTTCACCCGGGAGATGCCATTTTCTCTTTTTTACGTAATAATGCTCGAAAAACTGTTTGCCATTTCTGTCCTTTGGGAAAACTGGAAAAATTTTCTTTTTATGATTCTTTTACTACTACTGTTTTACCTTTTAATATTGTTCACAGTGACTTATGGACTTCGCTTATTGTGAGTCAGGCACGCATCCCAAGGCATATAAATACCTTCATTAATCCTCATTAAAGGGGGATTACGCCAATTAATTACTCTCATCTAGAGAAGACACTTAACCTTTTTTCCGCATTTATTACTCCTAAAGCAAGTACTAACTTGATCGTCGGAGGCGAAGCTCCCAACACCCGGAGTCTCCGTTGTTTTGCAGGTACAGGCGCACGGTTTCAATCTCGGAATTGTAACTCTCCCGCAGGACATCAGAAAACCCCGAAACACCCGTCGCTCCACTTCTAGTTACTGTGTTTTTCTTGGAGACAATTTAATTTCTTGGTCATCCAAACACTAACCCACATTGTCTAAATCCAGTGCAGAAGTTGAGTATAGAGGTGTTGCAAATGTTGTCTCCGAATCCTACTGGATTCGAAATTTATTACTTGAGTTGCTCTGTCCCATTACCAAAGCAACTTTAGTCTATTGTGGTAATGTCAGTGCTATATATCTTTCTGGTAATCCCGTCCAACATCAGTGCACCAAGCACATTGAAATGGACATTCATTTTGTTCGTGAAAAAGTTAGTCGTGAAGAGGTTCGGGTACTTCATGTTCCTTCACGATATCAAATAGCTGATATTTTTACAAAAGGTCTTCCCCGCATTCCTTTCGATGATTTTCGGCACAGTCTCAACGTTCGTGGACCTCCCGTTTCGACTGCGGGGGTGTGTTAGACAATATATATTTTTATATTTGTATACTACTAGAAAACAGCCCATTTCCGACGGAAACACCCCGTTTTCCGTCGGAAAAGGTGTTTCCGACGGAAATTTCGTCGGAACTGGTTGTCGGAAAACGCTTTATAGGAAAAATGACCTTTTCCGACGGAATTCAGTCATCGGAAGAGGTTTTCCGGCACCGGGAAAATCCGTTGAAAACTTCCGACGGAATTGAGTCTGTCGGAAGTTTCCGACGAAAATTCCGTCAGAAAATGTTGGAGAAAAAAAAAAAAAAACTACCTCACCTTAACCCACCAGACCCACCACCGTAAACCACCACCTTAACCCACCAACCCACCACCGTAACCCACCATCATAACCCACCAGACCCCACCTTACCACCCACCAAAACCAAATCCCAACCCTTATCACCAAAACACCACCAACACCGCAATTCATCCACCACCAATAGACCCAACAACCCAACCAAAACCCCACCCACACCAAACCGAAACTATCCAACCAAAACCCCACCCACACCAAACCGAAACCACCCCAACCAAAACCCCACCCACACCAAACCGAAACCACCACCAGAATTTAACCAAAAAGAAAAAAAAATTCCAAAAAAAAACGAAAATTATCATTAAAAAAACAACGAAAATTACCCAAATCAATTCAAAGAAATATATAAATATACAATTATTTAACAAAATTTATTCATTAACATTACAATGACATCAATAATTAACTAAAATCAGAATTTAAAAGGAAAAAAAAAGGCTTTATCTACAATCTAAGAAATATATAAAACCGTGTTGTTGCGACAGTGGCTTTTGTTGCGCCGTTGTTGTGCGGTGTTGGTGGTTGTTGTTGATCTCGGTGTTGGCGTTGATCTCGGTATTAGCGTTGATCGGGTGTTCGTTGAGGGTGATGCGGGCTGGTGGCTAGGAGATCGAAGAGGAGAGTGAAAGGGGAAAAGAGATCGAAGAGGAGAGTGATAGGGGAGAAGAGATCGAAGAGGAGAGTGAAAGGTTGGAGAAAGAGAATAGGAAAGGAGATAAATTGAGACTGAGAAGAGGAGAGAGAAAGGGAGGAGAAGAGAAGAGGAACAGAGAGGAGTAGAGTGAGAAGTCAGAGAGGAAAGAAGAGGAGAGGAGAGAGAAAGGGAAGAGAAGAAGAGAGAGGGGAAAATAAGAGGGAGTGGCAGCTGTAGCAATATCTAGGGTTAGTTTTTTTTTTATTTATTTTTTAATAGTTCCGTCGGAATTTGATAGAAAATCCGTCGGAAATTTCCGACGGAAATAAATTTCGTCGGAAACTTAGAATTCCGACGGAATAAAATCCGTTGGAACTTTCCGATGGAATAAAAATCCGTCGGAAATTACTTATTTTCCGACGGATTTTTAATTCCGTCGGAATATTCCAATGGAATATTTGAATTCGTCAAAAATTTCTGACGGAATTAAATTCCGTCGGAAATATCGGTTTTTCTGACGGATTTTTATGTCCATCGGAACGTTTCCGTCGGAATTCGACTGATTTCTAGTAGTGGTATTTTACATTTTTAGTAATTAGTTTATTCTAGAGAATTCTTTCTCCTTAATCTTAGCCGGTTATCTAATATTCTCCTTGATTCATGGCATAAATCTCGTAACAACCTCCTAGTTTAGTGCCATGATTCTTATCATAATATTATGTATATATTTCGCTGAATTACGCAATGCAACCACACGGACAACATTCTTATAGACTGTAAATGCTAAAACCTACACATGATCAAGAAAAACAAGTTAACTCGTCCATATTAAAAAAAGAGAGAGAGAGAGAGAGAGAGAGAGAGAGAAAGAGAGAAACAAAATTGACTCAACATGCTAGCAGAATAGAATGACTAGAGCAAAGACTTCACGTAGTACAAAATTACAAACCACGTATGAATAAAAAAAAATTAATAAACACCCTATATTTGGGGGCTTATGACATTCAGCTCATAAAAATGCGACAATTAGATAGTTCATAAGCAATTTTAACGTTACTTTACCAATTGACGCAAGTTCAAGAATTCAGAAACCCAACAAGGAAAAAAAAAGCTTACAAATAATCGAAGTCAATCGTGCACTCTTTCCCCTCCTCTTGCTAGGAACACGATGAATCACAGTCGCCAACAAGTTTTAGGAACTTATAAATCGTTCACAAGTGTGAAAGTTACACCCCATTCACGATCACGGAGATCGCTAACTCCATAGTGGTCCGGAACCATGACTGGATATTCGGGTATAATTGTACGAATCCAACCTAAAAGATATTGAACCCGCCCTAAATCGGCCTCTACTTAATTCTTATGATATTCATGGGCGCTTTTCGATCAACATACACACAACAAATTATTCCTAAACTTGTTTTATCTATATTGGTTAATTATTAATGCACAATCAAATTTATTATTGGCGATCACTTGAATTAAAATCATATTAGCCTAAAATCAAAATTATTAATTATCTTATTAGGCGTGATTTCATGTAAAATTTCTCTTTTAAACCTGCAAAAATGGGCTTGATCAAGCAATAACAATAAATCATGAATAATCAAGCAATGTATAATTGACACAACAATCATCATCATAATTATATCATCAAAACATTATTAAAACATGATTAATAGCAAGATCCCAGGCATGATACTAAAAGGATTAATAACAAAACCTAGCATGTCACTAAATAATAAAGATCAAAGCTTTAGCCTAAACATGATACTAGATAGCATGATATTAGGAATATTAATTAACACCCTAACATGATACTAGAAATCATAAAGACATCCTAACATGATACTAGAATTCAAAATAACATCTTGAGCATGATTTCTATATCAAAGGAATTATTAAGGAGATCAAATTACTCACATACCTCGTATCTCTTTCTATCAAAACAATACACACGTTAGAAACTTCAAGAAAGATTAAATCAAACAAACCAAATAAATCAAATAAGAATTAAAATATAGATTTGGGACCAAACCCTCAGAACTATCAACCTTTCTCGTCGAGGTCGAAGGCAACTTCGAAAATTGGCTTGGAGTATTCAAGGCTCATGAAGGAAGTATGGTGTTGGGATGTGTTTAGGCTAGGCTAAGAAATTAAGAAAGAAGAGAGAGAGAAAAGCTTTTAGCTTAGAGAGAGAGGTAGATGATGATTGTTGGTGAATAAAAACGGGGTAACAAGACCTCTATTTATAGGGAAAATCGAGGGTCGAAGATCAGAAAAGAGTCAGAATCTGACTCGGAGTAAAATGGGTTCCATCGCGATGCGATAGCCTTATTGCGATGTGATACATCTATTGCTGCGCGATATTTCTATCACTTAGCGATACTTTATGGAAGATAGGATTCGTACAGCATCCGACTCCCAATTAACTTGGGTTAGTCGAATTTTTGTACGTATTCTAATTTTATCAGAATTAAAATCATTGAAAACAAGTGTTTTATCCGAAGCAAAATTCTTAAATCTTTATCTTTTCAAAAACAGGATAAATTAGAACCTTCTAGAAAATTATAGAAACTAATAACAAATCCCAAGGGATTTAGGAATGATGTTTAAGGTTAATGGACCCTCCACATGGTCATTGGGTCGCAGGTAAGGCTCGGTTTAGTATTTTTGCCATAACTTCTTCATTATAAGTCGGATTTGGGCTTATAATATATCGTTGGAAAACTCTTTTCAAGCCCCATCCAACTAAGCAATAATTGGACCAGGGCTATGGACCAAAATAAACTGGTTTGGACGATTTTATAAAGTGGACACAAAATGAATGATTTTCAAAGACACGAAATGAATGATTTTGATTTTAAAGATACAAAATAAATGATTTTGAACTAAAACATTTAAGGAAAGGTCAGAAATGGTCAAGGCTAAAGAAAAATTCACGAGATTCTTCAACTCTTCACCTAACTCGATAATCAAAGACGTGAAAGGTACTCATCACCGGGTTTGGTTTTTGGGGAGACACAATCAGGTGTCTACACCGCTTTAAATAGGCCTCTACTTAATTCTTATGATATTCATGTGCGCTTTTCGATCAACATACATACATCAAATTAATCCTAAACCTGTTTAATATATGTTGGTTAATTATTAATGCACAATCAAATCTATTATTGCTGATCACTTAAATTAAAATCATACGAGCCTAAATCAAATTATTAATTATCTTATTAGGCGTGATTTCAAGTACAAATTCCCTGTAAACCTGCAAAAAGGGGTGTGATCAAGCAATAACAATAAATGATGAATAATCAAGCAATATATGA